GTCTAGTCATACTTTTTAAAAAAGAAAGTCACTTTGTAAGTTGCAACCAAGCTAAAAAGAAATCTATCACTCCTTTTTTCATCAAAGGCAATAACTCTGTTGCCCTGAGACCAAGTGTTGTTCTCTCTGTAGATTTTTAAAATTCCAGTCTTCTTGACAGCTTTTGAAATTATTCATCAGGAGTTTCCTTCACATATTTTTCGCATATCCACACTCAGACACATAGTCATTTCTAATTTTTTACTTGCTTTCCACAACATCTAGGTAGTGTTTTTCTTTTCCTTTTTTCTCATTTTTTTTTTTTGAGGGGTGGAAAGAATGAAAACTACCTCTTGTGTGCTAACTCTTCAAAAGTAAACAGCAATTAGAACAACAATTTCCTCACATCTCCCATCTTTAGTATTCTTATCACATATCCCAACTAGAGCCATACGATGTGTTCTGTCGTCTTTTCTGATAATCCTTCAGAATGTGGTTTGTCTCAGGGTGTGAGCTCGTGACAGTGATTGCTGTTGCTAGTGCCAGGAAATAAGTGTAGCATATGGATTAGAAGGTCCTCATAATGTTTATTTCTTGTATCTTGACACTCTTATGTATGTCTAGCTCTTGTAATTGCTTATAAATGTCAGATCAGGATCCAGTTTTTCTGTATTGCATGCTGCAAAGAATATGATCCTTTTTCCATCAAATTGCATATAAAGTTACAATGTTGTAGAAAAGCAAAAAAGTGTCTGATGAAAATTTCCTTAGATACGTTCCATTCTTTTAAAAAGGAGGGAAAAAACTCTGTCCTAAGTAATATATTGAACGATCAATCTTTTTTCCATGAGTGTTTATAAATGATCTCTTGATATGTTCCTGTTTCTTCAGCTGCTGTGTTAGTGAATTCCATGCTATTCTCAGTCTGCGGCATCAGCAGACTCATAAACCTTCTACCTCCTTCAGTAGTGCTGCTTATCTTACATGCTGAAATCTTGTTTTCTAGTTATCTGATAGATATTCTGGTCTTGAGAGTATGTTGTTGCAGTCAGTAGCTGATAAAATAAACAGAAACACAGCTACTAGAAGTTGTGACTGTCACTAACACTCCAGCCTCACAGTACTTTGTGCTTTGATTGCTTTCTGGCCTTCCACCATGAGATCTGAATTCTTCATACCACCTGAAATTCTGTTAATTTTTAAACAGAACCTGTCTTCACAGCTTGTCTCTGCTCAGTTCTTGGTTCAATAGCCAGATTCAAACAAATACTTCCCAAAGGAAAGCCCACTACAGATATAATTTGGAACCTATATGTAGCCAGTGGTATATTATTTTTCTAAATTACATTTAGCTTCTGTGACATATCAAAGTGTAGTGATGTCATTAATTATACTTCCTAGTCTTATTTCTCTAAATACAAAGTCAAGCCTCGGAACTGAATAAACAGGCCAAGCAATGGAAAAATGTATCAAAGTGCAAAAAGCTTTATTTCTTTGAAGTTTTAGACCCATTATAGTTGCCCGAAAGGAAAACTGTTTTAAGCCAAATGCATCATTGTAAGTGGAAGCAATAATACAGGCATCAGTTCTTCTCAGTAAGTACATCTGCATCTGGAATCTCTTGAAAGCTGAGCTGAGGACCTCAAATCACTGAATTTATCTCCCCTAAGTTCTTTAATTTTTGTGTAATGTTGAAATTGATGTTTTAATATAGGTATAGATTGTGTTTAAAGTATCTAGTTAAGTGTCTGGTAATTAGCATGTCCGCATACATTGATTTCCATTAAAAGAGATCTTTAGTAATCCATATTTACAAATTTCAGGAGCTATCCTAAGTGATTTGTCTGTGCTTTGTGAGAAGAGGCCATTGATGCAGTGAATATTGTAATTGAGTTAAATTGCAGTACTTAAAGGAGGAACCGTAGAAGAACATGACATGTCAGCTTCTGTTCTCCTCTGCTGTTAAATCTATGCTTGTCTCATTGCCTGGAGTTTGAAATCCTCTTAGTTTAGAACATAGCAGTTGTTATCCAATTGGAGCACAGCTTGCCTCCCCTGAACAGAGGTCCAAGGGAAGAAATAGGATGCATCCAGGGGGATTCAACAAGCAGCCTGATGTCATTTTGAGGTCACTCTCTATCATCTTTGAAAGAACATAACTGGCGGATGTTACTGGTGACTGGAAAAGGGTAGACATCACACCCATCTTCAGGAAAGTCAAGAAGAAAGATCCAGGGAACTACATGCCAATCAACATTATCTCACTTCCTGGGAAAGTTTGGAGCAAATACATTCAGAAGCCAGTTCTAAACCTATGAAAGATGATGACTGGGAAAAACTAGCATGGGTTTACCAAGGACTAGTCAACTTCATTGTTTTCTGTCAAAAGGTAACTGGCAGTATGAATAAGGGTAGTGCAGTGCATATTGCATTGCCCTTAGCAAGGCCATTGACTGTCTCCCACAGCTTTATTCTCAAAATTTTTTGAGGTGTGAGTTGAACAAGTAGACAGTAAAAGTCCCTGTCAGATTAACTGCACTGCCAGGCTCAAGTAGTGTGTTCTTTGGTGCCAAGTCCAACTTGTGGACAGTAATTATTAGAGCCCATCATGGATGGTAGGGGGCCCAAAATAGTTAAAATTTTAATTACCAACCTGGAACAGAATGCAATCTCAGCAATTGTGCAGATGGTAGCAAATTGAGGGCAGTGACTGGAGGATCAGGATGTTCTCTAGAGCAGCCTGCACAGGCTAGATAAACAGGCTGACCAGAGCCTCATGATGTTTAACAAGAGCAAGTCCAAAGTCCAATATATGTGGGCAATACTGTTGGCTAGGGGCTGCCTATCTAGGAAGCAGTCCCACAGCAAAGGATGTAGGGTCATAATGGACTTTCTTTGCCATGCACCATGCAATTCTTCAGTTCTTGATAGTGGAAACAAAGAATAGTAAAAACAAAACCAAAACCAAAAATCTTCTGTGCTATAACACACTCTTAATTTAGCTGATAGCTATATAACTTTATGTCTAGTTTTTCCTTGAACAGAGTGGGCTAAGGAATCCTAAATGCTAAATATTGTTAAAACCATCTCCTAGTACTCAGTCTAGTAATTTTTTTTGCATGAAAGATACTTATTAATTTTTTTATATGGAAATAGGAGTAGTTGCCGATCATTTCACAAATCTGAGTTTACACCAGGAAAACATTGCAAAGAATCAGCTCCTGAAGCTCTGGAATTTCCAAGACAGTAGCACTGCAGGTCCCAAAAGACTGAAGTTGTTGAGACTACAGTTATGAATCAACAAATTTCAACTTGCAGATTCATTTCTGCATAATTTATTTCAAACAGAAGAGACAGGGCTAGGGACATATAAAGATGACAATATAAGTGAAGCTGAGAGATTATTGAGACATACCTTCTTTAGAATTAAGCATACTGTAATGTAATTAGAGATTTTTTAACGTTTCAAAAAAATATATGCTTATAACTTAGTCTTTCTTTGCTCTTTGTCTTCCAAATACTTTTTTGTTCTTGTTTCTGAAATAGGGACTTTTAAGCAAAAAGAAAAAGTTGTCTTGAAATTGAATAAAATCTCTCATGTGACCTGAACTTTGAAACATGTTAAAGGTTAAATGACTATAAACTTGAGACTAGTCTATTTTTTATTACCATGTGCTTCTCCTTGATTTCCCTTCTTTTGACAAAACTGCAAGCTGAAGTACAGCTTTCTTTTCTATTGTGTTTTTAGTATTCATTACCAAAACTTGATAGAACATTTTGGGTTTTGTTCCTTTGAAATTGTATATTTTTTGAATACAATTTAAGGGGTAGGGATGAGTGGTTCCTTGGCTGTTTGTTTTTCTAAGTTTTTAATTCATTTCCCCGTGAAAGTTTTTTTTGTTTGTTTTCACAGAAGTAAAAAAATCTGGAAAAAGGCTTACAGGGACATGGCAGCTAAAATTTGTGTCATGTGGCAGAGTCAGAGAGGGGAAGTCCTGAAGATTCTTGTAATTTTAATGGGGAAAGACCATATCTGGAGTCTTAGACCTATTCTGAGGGGTGGCCTGAAGGTTCCAGGAGCTTGATGTTTATTTAGGTGGTTGGGCACATATATCTCAAAAGATTTTGAAGCATAAGTTTCTGATGCTTACTTGAACTATGTCTAACCTTTGTGGTTGAGGTTACCATTTACACATCTCTATTTTTTTATTCCTATATTCAAAACAAGGACACAGAACTTCCTTTGAACACTGTCAGGCTTAAGATAAAAATGCATTTTTGGAAAAGTTTGGGTCATGTAGATCATGAATGACTGACATGAACTACAAAAAGATTCAGACTTTTGGAGAGTTATGTATGTAAACATTCAGCCTTTTGTTTGAACAAAACCTTTTATGATCCTTGAAATTTTCATTGTTCATTTACTTTTCCAAAACAAATTCTTTCCATAATTTTATTCATATTTATTTTAAGAAATCACGTAGATCCATATATTAAATATAAATACATATAGTCATTAGAATTTGAGAGAACAGCTAGTTTTCTAAGCTTAATAAAAAGTTAGGAAAAATGACATTTGGATAAGACATTCCCCAATAAAATTTTCTTGAGTGTTTTTATTAACAGAATGTTGGGATTTTTTCCAGTAATCATCAATATATCCTTCTTATAAATGGACAACTACACAACTATACTTGTCCTCTAATTTTCCTACAAGAATGTACTTTAATAATTAACCAGCTTTTTGTAAGTCTATAACGTCTCTTGGGGTCAATTAATCACTGCAATGTTTCTCTGGAATTCGTATGATACTGACTACTTTTTTTGGCTTTAAACTTTGTTTGGTTTTAGCAGTCATAAGAATGCAGCTGTACCCAGCTTTCTTTTCTAATGTATATATATTGTCTTATATAAAGGCAGGGCAGAAAGAGAAGCATTGCCAAAGGTTAAAATAACCTTTATTAGGGTGCTAACCTATTTATCTTCAACACATAAAATATGTGAAAAAGAGTGAAAGAGAAACTCAGAGTAAAGGACTGTTTTTCCTACTGCTTGCAGTTCAGAGGTATATTTTCTGTAAAATGTATATCCACTACACAGTCTAATAAAAAAGATTTAATTTTTTTTATAAAATTGTATAAAATATTTACATATAGATTTAAAATGGCAGAATTTAGACTGAATTTTTGTAGTATTGGACGTGGAATAATAATGCAACTAATAGGTGATAGAGTTAAGGATGTTTATATCTCATATTTTCTTAGCTTTGGAAGTTTTTTAAAAAGTCTGGGTCTGATTTGATGCTTAACTTCCTAACATTGAACTAAGCTTTACACTTGAACTTGTGTTTCACAGAAAAACTAGTCCATAGAGTATTCTGATTTCTAAAAGGACTGGATGAAAGAAAAGGCTAAATACACAAATATATTCTGATCTTTAATTTCAAAGGAAGTTTTCAATCACAATCTATCAACAATACACAAAAGAGCTTAGATAAGTGATCTGGTCCTTCTGTTTCAGCTATAAAAGCTAAAAATCTGTGATTTCTTAAGAAATTTGTCAAAACTTATGTAGGATTTTAGAGAAGAAATTCCTAGCAAATACTTAGGCCTTGGCAGAAATGAAGTTCAGTTTAAAAAGAAATGAAAGATGTTGTCCTGGACTAGTATGATATTTGAATGAGATATCACACAGAATGAAATATGTTTGCCAGGAACCAAGAGAGAAAGTTACAGCTTTCTGCCAGATGAAAGGCAGTTCAGTAGGCTGGCTGTGAGTATCCACGGGGGTAACCTTCAGTATATGATCCTTCTGCCTGACCACTCCCTCTCCCAGTCTAAGCAATTATTTAACCTACAGAATGTCTAACACCAGGAAAAGTAGTTCTTCATGTGGCATATATTGCCCAAGAGGAATTTTTTCACCTTATTTGAAATAGTCATAGAAGGCTGTTGAAGGTTCTGCCTTTCACTTGTCTTTTTCTTTTAACTTTTTTAGTCTTGAAGCAAGCAAGATTTTAAGTGCACTATTCAAATATGCTCACTAAAAACTAGGAAAGAAGAAATCAAGGACATCACCACCTCGAAGAACTTTATTCAAATTTGTATTCTATAGAGAAAGCTAGTGGAAAGGTTCATTATGATTCATTTATTTATTTACTCTTATTGCATAGTATTTTTATTAAAAATCAATTTGATTGTGGAGAGGGCAGATACATTGTAAAATCTGGTTGAAAAAGGGCTATTCTTCCTGAGAATGACGCTAATGGCCTGCCTCACATAGGGCAGCAGAAGTCCAGAAAAACGCATTAGACAAAACCAGGCAGATGAACTGAAGGGTGAATCTTTTTTTAAAAGTGAAGAATTCCACATATTATTTCTGTGAAATTGTAATGTAGAAATACTGCTTTGAATAGAAGATCCTTTTTTCCCCTCTGCCATTCTTCCTGTTCTGCTGTAGTGATCAGGAGCCAGTAATAACTCTGAGTTCACAGAGTATTTTGGATGTTAATTTTCTTCTGCTTGTTTATATTCTGTTGGGTAATTTTCCTGGTTTTATCTTAAAATACCATATAAATAAAAGCACTACATAAATATAACCTTTTTTTTTTTTTTCTGGCTAAACCATTACTGTCTTGAAAACAGTGAATGAGTCAATGAGGAAATGAAGGAAGAAAGGAAAGAGGTATAAAGAGTTAGTTTTCCCTAATTTTCAAAGATAGTTTCAGAGTTTTGCTAGGTGGTGATTCTGAGATAGACCATGTTTGGAAACATGAGGTAGCTTCAGCTCCCATGGCATTCAACATGTTGGTGTTTTGAAATTAATCTGCACTACTTCAGCAGTTATATCTCCTGAGCATTGTACATGATTTGCGTTTTTTCTGGATTGACGTAGAGGTGACCTGGCAAACACACGGACTAAATAGTTATATTTGTCACTAGAAAATAGATTACTGTTTTTAGATGAGGAATATGTCCCTAGATTTTAGCAGAAAGACCAGTTTCCAGGATCTGAAAGAATATACTAAAGGAAGGATTATCCTCAACATGTCCAGCTTCTTTTATTCTTTCCATAAGCCTCTGCTACTGAACTCTTCTGGAAGCAGAGTACTGATGTAGATAGATATTTGGTCTGACCAGATCAGAGTTGGGAGATGTCAAATGCTGGCCTTACTTTTCAGCCTGTATTGTTCGTGCCTTCTTGCATCCTCTGCTTCAAACTCTAGTTCAGTTTTGAGGATTGGTTTGGTTTCTATTACACTCTTGTGATCGATCCTCCTTGATCTCAAAGAGATGAAAGGCAATATGTGATGGCATTATTCACAGTTTGGACAATTACTTATAGAAGCACTTCAAAGCTGAGCGTAGATTTGACACTGTGTCCTGTGAACTGTTTTTTGTTCATGGTATAAATATAACTCAGAACAGCCCAAATTACATGTGTAGTCATTATAAAAGATTCTTTAGCTCCAGATTGTAATCCAGAGCATATAAAAGATGACTAGGATTAGGTTGTATAAATAACAATGGCACTAAAACTCTACTTTTCAATATTAAGACCCAATTAAAGTTAAAAGAACCATTCTCAGTGACTTTGGTGTTGTAGGATTGAATTCTGTTTCTGAGAGCACAGAAGTTTAATATTTGACATAAATAGTCATTACATTTTACAGAGGAAACAATAGAACAAATATTTGAAAAATGAAGGAATAACAAAATGAAAAAGGCTATATGCCATGAAAAAGAATCCCTAAGTCTCCAGAGTTTATTAATGAGCTGCAAAATCAAAGGGGGAAAAAAAACCCTGTAAGAGTAGTCTCTCAAAGGATAAATGCATTGTGAATCAGAATAAAAAGTGCCTGATCCTAATGGATAAATGGAAACAGCTAATAATATGAAAGTTTTATTACTAAAATTCAGAAAGAAAACACCAAACCTGAATTCACATCTCCTTCTTGTTGAAGAATGGTATCAGGGATAATTGTGTTTAAAAATTTAAAAATTAGTTTTAAACAGGAAGTTAAAATGAATTTATTTCTGTGAGGTGTAGCAAAAAGTAGAAAGGTCCGTGTATGTTTTATGTGGTTGTGAAACTTGAAGTAATATAGTCTTTTTGAGGCAAACACTGGAAATAAAGTATGGAGGATATAGAAGTATAAAAGATATCTTCAGATGAACTTAAGTGTGTTAAATCAATTATGTATGTGATTTACACATGTGTAAAGCTACATTATACTCCTCAGTATTTATGAAATCAACTCCTTCACTTGGCTTTAGAAAGAAATATTAATGTAGTATGTCTGTAGCTGTTTATGTAAACCATACAATCAAATACTATGATTTTATTTACTTTGTAATTCCTCTCAGATTGTTGTCTTTTTCTCTTAGTGGAAAATATCAGTAGAAATGGATCTTGTTTTTAGCCTTAGGTGTTGGTAAATCTGTCATAAACTTTTCCTTGGTTATAATTTATGAATGTTTATGGAAAAGATATGGATAGAAGTTTCTTGAGCTTAATGCTGTGAAAATCTCTGGGGAAAACATAGTAGAAGAGCACATATTTGACAATCAATTATGTCTTTATTTTTGTTGGACAAAGCAAACATCAATATGGTATATTTTTGTAATATGCTACGCAGTTGTAGGAGATGTGCTTACTGATAAATCAGTTATCTTTTTTTTTGTCTTGCATATTTATACCTTTGAATCATGCTTTAATATTTTCATTGATATTGTTTTCAACACTTAGAACACTGAAATACATTTTATAGGCTGCAAAAGAAATAACACAATTAATATTAAATTCATAAATGGCAAATGCTGGGCTAGGAAAATACTTGTGAGAAAAGTTTCAACGTCAATATTAAACGTAAAGAACTTTAATTTGGCTATGGTACAACTATAAAACAAAACGATTCAATCAATGTACTGTTAAGGGATTCTTGTACCAAAAATTGACTGCACCCTTGAGTGTTATCTCTCATGTTTCTTTTATTTTTTTTTTAATTTCTATCACAAACTATGTCATGAGAGAGGTAAAAATTCAAATAGCTAGGATGCAGGCTTGGCCTGAAATCTGACATTAGAGCTCAGATCATATTTCACTGATAATGTAAGACATTTAGATACTCAGGTAATTAATGGACACATTGTTGTACACATCAGTGAAGTTGATTGACATTTAAATTGTACAAGAAGTGGAAATCTACATCTCTCTCAGCTGTATGGATGCTTTTGGAAATAGAGGGGGAAAACAATTCTTCTGAACTTTGCTTTTTATATATCTTTATATATCAGCAAAGTTGAAAACACATCTTTTGCAAATATGGAGTTCACCTCTGGCTGGATTGTATACCCAGACTTGGAAAAGAAGAGAAAAACTCTCATCTGAAAATCTAAAAATCTAATTTGCATAGTGCAATTGAAAAGTAAATTTAAAGAGGACAGGGAGGAATAATATCTATTTTCACTGAAAGTTTTTGGTCAGATTTTCTCCCTTTTTCATAGCTATTCATTTTGACCATTCTGCCCATATTTAAATGATTATCTTTGGGATTTGATTTGCTACAGTCTGCTTCTGGAATAGGTTTTTTTAAGTGAAAATTGTTTGAATCAACCATTCAGTGGTTATCAGCATAAGAGTAATCACTGAGAAGAGCTAAGTTAGTGAGTTGTAGGTAATTGTTATAGTTAAAGAATGTGATGCATTTTATTTGTTGCATGCCTTTACAGTTTATTTATATAGATTTCCTAACATATACGACCACTCAAGAGAGGAGGTGTAGTGAAAAGGATAATGTTGTATATTTATCATTAATTGAAATGGTAAGGAGGGGAAAAATGGTAAAGAGACATTATCTTTAATAATGAGGGCATAGAATTTATCCAGATTTATTAAATAATAGAATGAAACCCAAAATATACTGTAATCAAGTAATAGGGAACTCCTGAAGCAGGGAATCAAAGATCCCTTTTAAGACATGAAAATAAAATAAAAATTTATTATTTTTAAAAGCATGGTCAGATTGGAAGCAGAGTGATCTTCAAGCCACCAAATTATATGACCAGTACCTGAAGTAACCTTTCAAAATAGCTGGAATATGATCCTTTTGTCTCTCAGAAGTTCAAAGGGCTTGGAAGACCTTGTTCGCCAATCTAAGGCTGTACAAAGTCCTGTTTACACAAACTACACAGTAAGGTATCCAAACTTGGAATAATTTCTCAGGGTCAGAAATCAGTACAATTTGAAATATTTTATGAATGGGAGAAAAGTAGTCCAGTTTTATAAATTAGACATTTTCTAAAGAATGAACCCCAGCCTCTTTGCTGCTGAAATAAGAACCTGAATGACTGAGCCCTGTAAGTCAAGCCAAATTCTTCAGCAGTATTTACTTATCGTGTGGGAGTGATTTACTTCTCTCACTTATCAGAATATATTGAAAGAACATGTGGTAAAAAACCTCAATGACTTATAAGAAAAATAAGTCATATACAGGTTGAGTTTGAACCAAAGTCTAAATTTTGTTTTTATGAAAGAAAACTGAATTCTGCCTTAGGTACTAGAGACACCAGTTGGCAATTAATTCTGTCACCTCTCTTCATTCCAACCATTACTTTGGTTTCCAAATTATTCCATTACATCAAAAATAAAAGTGCTTAATTGAAGAAATAAATACATGTAGGATTCACTTTTATAACCCCAAATTTTGATGAAAACTTTCCTATTTCAGTTCGACTCAATGAAAGCAAGTTTGACAGAATCAGGCACCTACATCTGGACATAAAATACTCAATTAGGCAAAAACAGCATACAAAGCTGTTCGTGGTCTTTATGCCTTTAAGTACCTTAGGTCTGTATTTTTTAAAAGTTTGGCAGTCTTTTGTAATAACTTGGGTCTATTAACAATGTTGGAATAAAATTACAGGAATTTGAGAAGCAGGGGATGCATCTTATTTACAGAACAAAATCAAACCCACAAAAAAAACCCCTACAACCCACAAATACTGTTGATCTGATTTGTTTAAAATAAAACAGTACAATACAGCATCTCCAAAGGTGTTTTGAGTATGATTGCTCTGCAGGTAGCAGTTCTGATATACCATTTGAAAACACAGTCTGTAGGACACTTTAAAAGAGACTTTACAAGAGTTATCAAAAGTAAACTGATTTTATCAGTGCACTGTATGACTTTGCTCATTCATGCAGGCTGCGTTAGAGAAGGAATGGCTAACTCTAGATTCCACCCGTTTCCCTTCAAAAACACTCCTGCTCTCAAACCAGCTGCACTGGCCAAAGGTAACATGTCACAGAAACATCTTAGTCTTCAGTCTTTATTCATTCCTTAAGGATATGCTATTCTAGGGTGATTAATACGACAATCTAGTGACTTGAAAAACACAATTACTTTTAGAAGTCTCAGACTTCCTCCTCATCTCCAGATGCAATTTTTCTTTTAGATTTTCTTTCATTTGCGTAGTTTTTCTTTATTTTGGATTTATTTCAACACTTTACTTCACAGTAGCAGAAAAAAAGATGATGTACTTCATCTGCACATTTGGCAATGGATTAAAAATTGCTAGTTGACAAACTACTTTAAAAGTACTACGATCTGCATTATATGACAACAGCTGAATGTTTTCAGAACAGCTAAAGGTCATCGAACTGTAATGTCTGCTAGTTATTTGATAAACTTTGAAGTTTTAGCTTTTTGTTTTGGTAGAGTTTTCTATTCTTGTTACAAGCACAGTATTACTGGTGTTTTATTTACTACAATTAAGACAAAGGGGTCTTATAAATGTATAATTCATTATATTTGGGACGTTAAGTGTAACTAAAGTCACCTTTTTGTCCTAGTTAGTTGAAAGTAAGGTCTGTAATGGGCATATCACCATTAAGAATCATTTCAGTTATAGTAATAGCCTCTGCAAACTCCAGTGCAGGTTTTCCTGCACATTTTAAACTCAAGCTTACAGGGACCGTCAGCTGCATCCTTTTCTTTGTCTTAGAAGTTTTCTAGGCCTTCAGATTCCAATGAACATTCAAATAGTTTGCCATTGTCACCGCAAGAAGTTTGGCAGTGTGCTAACAGACCACATTCATACTCAACAGAAAATATCCATTTTCATAGCAGGTAAGTTAAATAATGTATTTTTTAAATTATATTTAGTTCATTTGGGTTTGACAAAAGTTAAAAGGAGAAAAAGAGGCTATTTTCTGATGCTTGTGCTACTTTTGGTTAATGTGATATTACTGGTGTTAAAATGTATTTACTTGCTAAAACCAAATATATTAAATTCAGTTATTTTTCATTGACTAAGGATTAAGAATATAAGAATATATATGTTTCATTTTATTTATCTAGGTTTGACTAGAAATCATAAAACTTCTATTTTTTCATATATATGACAAGATATACATTGAAATAGAGATTTTGAAGACTAGATAAAGATTAAAAGAGATTTCTTGTACAGCTGTGTTCTGTGAAAGGGCTGAAATATGCCTCAAGTAATTGAAATATAAACATTTCAAATTGATGGCAGACTTTTATTACTCTCCAAGATAAAACCTCCATGGAATATTAAAAGAGATTTTTTTTTTATCGTTTCCAAGCTTCAAAAGTGCCTTTAAAAGGCACAAACAAGTTGCAGAATAACAAAGACTGCAAAATAGTCACCCGAGACCCTTGCCCATTTACCTACTTTTCAGTACTGGTCTTATACTTTGTTTCCAGGTCAGGGACGGGAATAATGTCACAGCTTTCTGATTGGAAGGAAAAAAAGAAATTTTTATTTATGTCTGAAAAAGAAGAGAAAATTTCAGAAGAATGGTATGTTAAGCTATTTTGCTTACCTAGTGATTTCTGGAATAGGTATAGTATACTTGGCTGCTGGTGCTTGCTTTTTCTAAGTTCCTCCTTTCAAGAATATCTGTTTTCTACCAAAGTAAAAATTATCGTAATTACTTTTACAAGTGCCTGGGAAACCATCTTAATAAGTTGCAATAATGTAATGTTAAGAATTGCAGCTATCTCTGTAATTCAGAAAGTTTCATACCATGCATAAGTACTACACACTGATATTCTTTTTGAAAAGTGTATTATACGATAATATGCAGCTGGTGTAACATAATACATGTGAAATATTTAGTAAGTTATTTTCTTTCCCTAGGGGTTTTAAGGATATTTCTACTGCACAGCTAATGCTGAAGAGGGCCCATAAAATGAAGCCTAAAAAATATAGTAATAAAAATTTAGGTAAGTCAAGAGTTAAAATAATGGTTATATTGATGTAATTTTCCCATTCTTAAATCTCAAAGTAGTGTCTCTTTTAAAAGTTTGCTTGTACAACATTAAACATTAATTTGAATAAAGCTGGAGTGTTATTCACTAAAAACAATTTAAATCAATTTGTTACAATGACAAAATACTCAGATTTTAAAAAAGATTCTGCTGGATTTTGAAGTTGAATATTTGATGGCTATGCGAAACAGAAATTTTGTTTCTTCCTGTTTATGTATCTCTTTTTCTAGATGTGAAGTTTATATTTCTGCATTTTACGCTTCTTATATTTTCCTCTTGGGGAAATCTTAGGTTAAAATTATTGACTTGTGCAAGAACTATTTATGAAAATGACAGTTTGACACATATGAAATAAAGTCATATCTCTTAAATATTCAATGTGGAAATAGATAAAGCTTATCTAGCTTCTCTGTAAGTGTCTTCTGGTTCTTCTCTGATACTTCTTATGTCAATGAACCTTTCTTGGAATCATTAATTGTTAGTATGATATGCTAATATAAATGTTACTGGAATATATTAATAAAAATACTAGTCAGATATTGCTAGTATAAGAAACATTTAAATACGTAAGAGCCTGGTTGACAATAGGACCTAACATTAAAGGTCTTTGGAAAATGTACCCTTATTTACATATATTTTATATCACAAGCTACAGTTAATTTTCCTCTTTTGCATAACTTTGCAAAACTGT